CCCCAAAAAAAAACCAAACACAACCCCCTGCCTTTAAAAATTCAAGTGCAAATGAAGTAGCTACTGCTACAGCTTTTTCAAGACAAAATGCTTCAATGATTTTTTTCCTTACAAATTATCTTGGCTTTTCCAGATGGTTGTCTTCAAGTACATTGAGGATAAAGATGTGTTTCAAAAATTCTATGCTAAAATGCTGGCAAAAAGACTCGTTCATCAGAACAGTGCTAGCGACGATGCTGAGGCCAGCATGATCTCTAAACTAAAAGTGAGTATTCCGTGACTGTCCCATGACCTGCCGTATTGCAGGTTTTCAGGCTGCCTTGGAAAGCATCATTGTGTATCCTTCTGTTTCATTATTTTATGTACTATAGAAAAATACACCACCTAGGTGATATTTTCCTTTTTTTTTTTAAACCTCCTAGGATCTTGTAGTGAATGTCTGTCTGATGGTGTTAAGCTTAATTATTTCTATCCAAATAAATGACATGGATATAATTATCTCAAGGAGCAACTGCTGACAAGTTGCTTAATTTCACTAACCCTTGTTCATGCAGGGTCAAGCAAAATATGATCTAATATACTGTTTTAGTAGTCTGTTCTGTTGTGCGTTTTGCTTTATTTTTAAACAAAGTCTTCGGTTTTTGGTGACCATTAAAGTGCATGGCTAGTTGGGACCAGTGCGTTGAGTAAGCGAAATACTGAACTCTTATTTAAGAAAACAGGCTCCGATACTTTGTTCTTCTCGTTCTCCTATGTCAAAAATGTGCCTTGCTGACATGTCTGTGCTTTTGAAATACAGCAAGCTTGTGGTTTTGAGTATACCTCCAAGCTGCAGCGGATGTTCCAAGACATTGGTGTAAGCAAGGACTTGAATGAGCAATTTAAAAAGCACCTGACCAATTCAGAACCATTAGATTGTAAGTAATACATCTACCTCAGTTACTGTTGAGTCGTTTGGCTTCCTCTTATTTCTACAGAGCTAACTCTGAGGGAAATAGTTGATGTAGACATCATGCCCCTAGAAGTTAGATTTAGTGTTATTTTGACTGAGATAGCTGGGGTTTTTAAATTAGTCTTCTAATAGCACATTGTATTTTCTGTCATGGGTAGCTTCCTCCTGGTTTTGCAACTCATGTTTAGGTATGTAACTAAATTAAGTTGAATCCTGTCTCTTTTATTTTTCTTTTAGATTGGAAAGATGTTTTTTCTTCAAACGGTTTTGGTTTTGAGCACAACATGGCTTAAGTTCATGCTTGTGTAAAACAATTACAGAAAAAAGGATGTTAGACAGTCCTGTTGCCTTTTTATAAAGAAATATTTTTTTTCATTGAAGCACATAAAAATAATTTTTTTAAAGAATTGACGATCATTTGTTGGATTACTCTGTGATGTAATGTAATCCCATGCTTGCACACAAACTAACTTAATAGATAATACAGTGAATTGTGTCATGTCAGGCTTAAATTTTACTTTGGTTTTGTATTATTCTTATGGACTTGCCAAAATGCCTTACAAGTACAAATGTGAAATGTTTGTTCTTGTGGTGTACTGTGCAGTGATGAGTTTAGATACACACGGAAATGAACGCTTACCATTTTTACACTTGCATGTTAAAAGAGAAATCCGTTGTGAGGATAGAAACAGGGTAATGACCCCTACAAATGAGGGGAAAACTGAGCCAGTCTCACAGTAAATCTAAAGCGCTCCAGCTGCAGCGGCATCTCCCATGAATCCCTTTGTTTTATGGACTGAATAAAAAAGCCAGGTATTGTGCAGTGATTTTTGTTTGAGCAGAAGGGAGAGCCATTTCTTCTTTGTGTTAGAGCTGGGACTGCGGGTTTGAGGGGGGCGTGAGAGCGCAGGGGCTAACGCAGCTCAGCCTCTTCACCTCTCTTCCAGTGGATTTCAGCATCCAGGTGCTGAGCTCTGGGTCGTGGCCGTTCCAGCAGTCCTGCACGTTCGCTCTGCCCTCTGAGGTGAGACGCTTGCGCTCGGCTCATCTGCGCGTGGAAGGATCGTGCTAGAAATTTGTTGTACAAGGCTGGCGTCTCCTTCTGTGGTGGTGTGTGTCAGATGACAGGAAGTGTCTCTGGTGTTTGGCTGGAGGATATTTGGAACAAGATAAGTGCGCAAGGTGGTGGGAGGGAACTGTGAAATACACAACTTTTTTTTTTTTCTTTTTTTTTTTTTTTCTTTTCTGTGGAAGGATCCTGGTCAATGAACCTTTCTTCAAAACATTCAACAGTAGCTGAAGCAAATCTTTGTAGTGTGTTACTCTGCATATACTTTTATGTAAGAAATTTGTTCTTGCTGTTGCTTCGGCTCTGTCCAGTAAAACCTTTAGATATCACAACTGTTAGTTTTCTGTTGAGTGCTTATCCAGAAGAGACAAGACACGAATACTTCACGTGAGAAGTAAGCTTAACTGCTGTTACCTGGAGGAAGAAGGTGGTTAAAAGAAATTGCCTTTCTAGCCTTGCTTAATGTGTCATAAAAGGAAGAGTGGAACTTACATGCTTGTTTGGGTTTTTTTATTGTTAATGACACACTGTAGAGGGGAAGGTCATAACAAAGGGAAAAGTTCATCCAGTTTGAAGAATATGAATACTTTGGATTTCTGTTTCTCTTACTCAGACAGCATGGCAGTCAAGGGTGATCAGATTCGATTCTCCTTTGTTGGTTCCAGAGCATGTTCTAGTAATGGTAAACGAAGGTAAATAATATTCTTTATTTATTTTTTGTTGTTGTTTTTATACAGTTAGAACGGAGCTATCAGAGATTTACTGCGTTTTATGCCAGTCGTCATAGTGGAAGAAAATTAACATGGTTGTATCAGCTGTCCAAAGGGGAACTGGTTACCAACTGTTTCAAAAACAGATACACGTTACAGGTAAGGATCCCGCCACACCAGCGGGAGCTCGTGGTGATCACTGCCTTCAGAGGACGGGGTGCGGCTGGCTGCTGCACAGACACACGCCCACCCTCTGCTCCGCTGCCCTTACCTTATCTGGATGGGCTGCTCAGCCTCTTTACTCCTTTGGAGTCAATTGCTTTATCCTACTTTAAAGGACTGGTGTGCGGACAAGTGTGTTTAAAATGAAGTGTGTCGATGTGGAAGCAGCACACAAACTAATTTTAATAGTGATAAAGCCATTTGAGCTGTATTTGATCTGTTTTCACTAACAGTATGTAACGATGTATCACAATTAAATATTTCAAACGCTGCAATTCCTTCCTGGGGCGGGGGGAGGGGGTATGTGTACACACAGAGACGTGTTTTGCTACCAGTTACGGTGCTGGCGTGCAGTCATTAGCTTTAGTCCTGTGAATAATGCTGCTGTCTGAATAATGCAAAGCACAGATGCCAGACCTGATGGCTGCAGATCTGTGCACTACCGAGGTGAACACAGGTATTAGCCCTCCCCAGGTGGTTGTTGGTGTAATGAATAATAGAACCTTTACTATACATTTGATTTATTTACTGTACTGATGCTTAAGATCCATGTTTAAAAGAAAAGTGACCTAGAAAAGAGAATACAATACTGGTGGTTTGAACCAGTGTTGAACTGGGTTGTGCAAGACAACTGCAGCCTCTTCACATATGATCTCACGCTGCTTATGCTTCCCTGCCTGCTTCCTCTTAAGAGGTAGACAGAGGAGAGTGGTTCACAACAGTGAGAAGAAACAAGATAATGTCAGACTTTGAACTTGTCAACATATGTTGACCCCACGGTGATCGATGTGAACAAGCCACTGATAGCTGCCTTGTTTATAAACTTGGTTTCACTATTCTGCTGGAGTTGGGAGGGTTGTGAGGATGAAGTCAGTAAGTCTGTGTGTAGGTTATAATGAAGATTAAATGACTAAGAGTCAGGGAGTGACAGAAGAAAATAATTTAAAATTATGTTAGCAAGTAGGAAGATAAGGCTTTGACACCATAATAGAAGATTTGATGAAGTGTCTGCAGCTAGTTAGTGATGATAGTGTTAGGGTTTGTGTTCCGGTAATGCTGGCAGGTAGAGTTCTGGTTGTGCAAGTAAAATCAGGTTTTTCTGTATTGCGCAGTGGTTAGCACTAGTTGGCGATTCTCTTGTCCAGATATTCCAGTCTGTGTGTTTAACTGGTGAATCTCAGGCTGTCCAAATTCAGAAAGCGTGTATGTTCCTTCTCATTTCCTGATTTCCCCCCTCTTCCCTTTGTTCTCTGGTTTTGGATCTGTTAGGCATCCACGTTCCAGATGGCGATTTTACTGCAGTACAACACAGAAGATGCCTACACCGTGCAGCAGCTGACAGACAGCACCCAAATAAAAATGGTAGTGATTTTGCACATTTTACCACACTCTTGTGAACACGTCTTTTGCTCTTCAAGGCTCTTCCTGCTATTGTAAGAAATTAGGATTAGACATGCTTGAAGCCAGAGTTGTTTCTGTCCTGAAGGAGACAGATGTGCTCTGTTCTTGGTCACCTTACACTCCTGGTTGACTTTCTTGTAATCGTAACTGCGTAGTCTGCTGATGAGTGTAGGCGTGCTCCTGGTCGTAGCCAGCGTGAGTTGTCCAGCTGCTGAGCTCTGGTAGCAAGTTTTCAGTGTTTCACTACATTCATTTTAATATTGTGACAATTTTCTAGGAAAACCAGCATTTTCCATAAAGGATCAATCTGCACATCTGCTGCTCTTTACATCTCACGGCTTATATACATGAACACAGTAAAACGTGCAGTTTTCAGCCTCTCTTGAGGAAAGGGCTCCTTCCCTTTCTTTCGAAGTAGACTTGATGGCCCACAGTTTATTTGCCATCTTGTGTCCTTTTACTAGTAGGTTTGAACCAAGTCTGCTGGGACTTCTGGCAAGTTGGGCAATTCCTAGTCAGCGAGATCTTTGCGTTTAGAAATAGTTACTGCTGCTGCTGGCTTACAGCAAACCTGGAAATCTTGTGGGGCTGCCATTGGTTATGGATGCTTCTTGGCACACATTTGTATATATTTATTTATGTAACATAAATAGTTGGCCCAAATTATGGAACAAACCCCTTTATACAGCTGAAAACTTAACTGCATCAAACCCAGAAGATTTCCATTGTGGTCCAACGGCAGCTTTGCAAGCCTGCACAGAGCACTGGCAGTAGTGTAGCCATCTGGGTGACCGACCAGGAACCAGAACAGATCCCTGGTGTAAGCGAGGAAATGAAGATACGTTAATCGGAAAGCAGAGGCTGCTCACTTTCTGACGCTTAAGCTTGCTGTGGTAGCTATACATGCGTGGTTTGGGAAAAAATACTTCTTACACTTAGAAATCTGCTTGCAAAATAGCTCCTAAACCAGCAACTGGAAAGATCTGTTGGTTGGAATTAGTCTGACTGCATGGGGAATATGTCTGAACATCCAAAAAGGGCCTTATTAAATTCTGGGTTTTTTAAATTACATTTTCATTGGGTTTTTTCCCTCACTCGTTTTGCAGTATTCTGCACTTGATAGTTCTTAGTCTAAATACTTGCATTCTTGTTGAAGTATTTTAAGCTAGAGAAAGGTGCTGTCTGCCTGCGCTGATACTATTTTCTGTAATTTTGTAGGATATCTTGGCACAAGTTCTACAGATACTGTTGAAATCAAAATTGCTTGTGAGTACTCTTGCTTTTTCATGACTTGCTTAACATTCAGCAAAATGTATTAATGAATATTTATTTTATTTATTTTATTTCTTGTAGGTTTTGGAAGATGAAAATGCAAATGTTGATGAGGTGGAGTTAAAACCAGATACCTTAATAAAACTGTATCTTGGTTATAAAAAGTAAGGAAAAACTTCAGCAGCGTACATCACTTGTGTATAATGGGCAGCAACCTCCTTCTCTGCTTTCAAAATTTGGGTAAAACCTCATATACCTGGGATGAAAGCTCCAGGGTTCAAGTGCCAAATCAAATACAGATCCAATGTGTGCCAGCGTGAAAGGCGAGGAGGGCTGGCTAGTAGTGGGGTGGGTAGGATATCAGCTCGTAGTCTGTCAAGGCCCAGACATACTTTCCTGTGTCCATTTTGTTCCTTGGTTCTTGTGTAATTAATTCCTGGTAAGAAACGGTGCTGGTTTTTACCAAGGTGCGTGACTTGCATGTACTCAGCAAAATATAGTGTGTTTTATAAGGTTACAGTAGTGTACAGTGACCAGCAAAGGTCAGGGTCTTAAATATTCATCCAGGAGAGATAACATGAGACGCTCAGCCGGCTCAGTTTAGAACTCGGGAGTGTACAGTGATTTGAAAACTTAATAAACCCAGTTGTCAGTAGCTTTTATTACCCGCTTTAACCAGCGCTGCTTTCAATGTTTGTGTATTTTAAGCTGTTTGCAGTACTGCAGTGACTTTTTATCATGCTTACCAGAGCAGAGGTAAACACACGTAAATTCAGTGAGGAGTTCGGTACCTCATGAAGAGGAGCTCTTAAGCAAAAGAAACCTTTTAAACCCTTTCCTCGTACCTCACTCTTCATCTGCTTTCTTCCCTCCTTGACCGATAATTGAAGGTTTGAGAATTCCCAGTCAGTTATGTTAACGCAGTGATGGAAGCAGCTCAGCACCACTGCCCTGGGCGGCTTGGTGGTTCCCAGTTTCTGACACACAGGACTTGGCTGTAAAAGTAGCAGCTCCTCTCTCCACGGCAGCACTGCCTGGTGCTGAGGCTCCTTCCCTGCTTGTGCTGCTGCACCTCATCTTGAGAGCAGCGGGCTCGCCTTGGCACAGCCATGGGCACAGGGGAGTGCGTGAAAGGAAGGCAGAGTTCAGTGTTACAGAACAAATTCCTTTCTCCACACGGTGGTCAGAATTCGGGGTGTAAATCAGAAGGTGATTCTGTTTCCACTGACTTTTTGTCCCATTCGCTGACTGGAAACTCCTTACTAAATGTAACATTCCATATTAGACCTAACGGATCAGTAGGTTGGATTCAGTAAGTCATGAAACACACAAATAGCCACTGAAAAGGTTTGGGGTTTTTTTTGATTGGTTGCAGGTTTTTAGTTTGTAGTTAAACTTTATTTTTAAACTTGAATAAGGTGGTCTAAAATTTTCAGAAGCGCCAGTGTCCCCTTTTGTTGTGAAGTTATTGGGCGGTGGGGGGGCTTAGTTTGGAGTTGGGCTTTGTTGTGGTTTGATTTGTTTTCAAACAGGTTAATTGTCTTACTAACTTCTGGTTTTCTCCACAGCAAAAAATTAAGGGTAAACATCAATGTGCCAATGAAGACTGAACAGAAGCAGGAACAAGAAACTACACACAAAAATATAGAGGAAGATAGGAAACTACTGATTCAGGTGATTTGTGCTGCAGAATTACAGCTTTGTAGTCCTTTAATGAAGCTGACTGGGGGGTTTTCTTAATTTTTATTAAAAGGCAACATGCCACTGCAGTGCCCGGTGTTGGAGCTAAAAATGTATTTGCAGTACTCTTCGAGGCAACAGGAGTCTGTCCTAGAAAACTGAGAAAGGCATGACAGGTTTTCCACGTTTGTCCTAACTTTGTGCTTCAGGTTCCACAGCTGCCCACACTCAGCAGAGCTCTGTTCTGGGGGAAAACCAGCAACACCTCAGCAGCATGAGCTTAACAGTGTTTTTCTATCGGTTCATTTGGAATCCACTTGAGAAGCAAAGGGGCAGGGGAAGGAAATAGAAGCATGCTCCTAAGAGAGCGCCCGAGTAAGGTTAAATGTGTGACGAAGGCTTTCTGATAGACAAGCGGTTTCATGTTGCTGGTGGTACTGGTGTTATGCTGAACCATAAGCAGAGTGGTTCTTAAAATTCACATGTTAAAACCACTTCTGATGAGTGTGTGCCATGCGGAATCTGAGCTCTCCAAGCCTGCGTGAGTAGTTGATGTTTGTTTCTGCCTGTCTGGTACGGGGAAGCATCTGATGATGCTTCTGCATCTGTGACCCGCTGGGGAAGTAAAGTACCTTTATCCAGAAGGACAAGTGGTTTGCTCCTAAGCCCGCCTTTCTGACTTTGCTGTGCAGGCTGCTATCGTGAGAATCATGAAAATGAGGAAGGTTCTAAAGCACCAGCAACTGCTCGGAGAAGTGCTAACACAGCTCTCCTCAAGGTTCAAGCCCCGAGTTCCAGTAATTAAGGTACGTGAGAACCATGTCTCTGAACCTGTGTTCCAGGAGGCAAGGAGGATACGTATAGACAAAATACATGCTTCTGAATTAAAAAGGGAAGCTGAGGAGATGGGATGGGTAAGGAAAGGGTTTTTTTGAGTTGTAGATAAGTAGGAAATATTCTAACCAGAAATACTGTATTTCTCTTAGGGTAACATGCACGTTTCGTGTTGTTGGCAGTGGTAAAACAGTAGCTCAGTCGCATCTTTTCACGTGGGTGCCAGCTTACGGCAGCCTTTGCTCCAAGCTTCCCTCCTGTTCCTGCTCTCCCAGGTGTGGGATTAGTGCTGCCTGGGGGCCGGCCCAACCAGACAGTTCCCTCATCTCTCCCAGAATAAGCGTCGGGGAGGGGACACTCTGTGTAATCGTGGGTCCCTCTTTGGTCTGTTCTGCGGTCCCACCAGTGGCTTTTCCACCCACCCCCGGGGGACAGGTGGGGCAACAAACGGGTGGTGGGGAGCAGTGGCATGAAGTGGCACCAGTGCTGAAAGAGATGTGCCCAGCTCTCCAGTGACTTCCAGTGAGCCCTCTGCATCTTGGTTTAACTCTTTATTTGCCATCTTGCCCTGAAGTTGCTCAGCACGCTGATGGTCAGTTGCTCTCCGGGTCACTACCTTGGAACGGCAGCCAGTAAGCGTAACTCAGTGTAGTGGATTAGCGAAGTTCTCTTCTTGGACGTGGTCAGAAGGGGAGAGCAGATTGTTGTGGTGTTTGCCCTTTGCCTGCTCCCGTCCTCTCCTTGCCCTGAAACTCAGCAGCCAAAATCATTCGAAGTTTGTAGCAACCACAGGGAGGGCTCTTCTGCCAGTGTCCCACCACTTCGCTTTGTTTCTCCCACAGAAATGCATTGACATTCTGATTGAGAAGGAGTACTTGGAACGTGTAGATGGCGAGAAGGACACCTACAGCTACTTGGCTTAGCCTTTTTATTAGCAATTACTTGACTGTGTGACACTCTGCAAATAGGTATGTGATGGAAAGAATGAAAGCAACGGAACTTCATAGCAGCCACCCTGCTGCCATTTGGACCTCCCTTTTTAATGCCTGAGACCAGGACTCCCATCAGCCAGTCTCAGATTTACATCAGAACTGCTCAGGATTGATACATTTCAAGTATGTAAATATGGACACCAATGCCATTTAACCTAATTTAAGAACAGAAAGGAATCAAACCCTTCTCCTGCAAGGGTTGCATGCTACTGCATTTAAATCAATACATTGGCTAGATGATAACCAGCTGCCACCAGGGGCAGCACCTATAAATGTTGGCAGCACTTTGAGAGCGAGTCTGAATGGACCCATGTGTAATCTGCTATGAAAACCCATTTGTATAGTGTGTTTCATTTTTTAATGTGTGATAAATAAAAAAAAAATTAAAAGATTTCTGTACAAGTTGCATTTGGTTTTATTGTTTTAAGTTTCATGACTTATCTTTCTAAATGTAAATAAAAGGTATAATGGTTATGAAAGCTATAGCCATTTGTTTTGCTTTTCCTCCTTTTCCCTGTTTTCTGGTGCTGTGAGCACATTTTGTTCTCAGAAGAAATCAATTGCTATCTACTATCAAATGTGCACATTTGTTCCTAAGAGGAAACGTATGTGTTGTTTTGAAACGGAAGCTGTGGTGACTTCACAAGACATGCAGAACAGAAAATACAGGTAGGTGGGGAGACTTGGCCATCTGAAAGGGGAGGTGCTGTCAGTGTGCTACAAAATGCATCATGCTTGCCTAAATGCTGCCCTGAACAAATAAGGTTTAGGCTGCCCATTTCTTCAACTAGAACAGAAACCTGAGTGTCTTTAACAAGATTCCCATTAAATGCAACCTGTGATGGAAATGGAAATATTTTTGAGTGTTACTACACCCACCCTCACTGACCAGGCTTCATTCCATCCTTCTCCCAATGTGTTGTGTTCATTCCCTATGCGTGACATGAGTGTTAACTTTCCATGTGTTACAAGTAAAGCCCTCCCATCCTTACAGGTCTCAGTTCTAGTAATTTATATTCTCTGTTCTCAATAGTGAAAAAAAACAAACCTCTGCAGCCAAACCCTTTTTTTTCCCCTTAGAGTCTGTGATTTGTTCAGTGTTTGCTCTGCTGTGAAGAAAAGGGAGCCAGGCTTTGTGTTAACACTGTTTTTCTCGGAAACTACAATTAAGCTCCAACCTACAAAAATGCCTGGGTTTTAAAAAAAAAAAAAGAAATACAGAGCAGTTCTAGATGGGATCCAGACTGGTTTGGAAACCAGGGGAAAGAATCCATCCCCACTTGTGATTTTGCATGCTTGCCGTGCCTGTTCCAAAAGGACTTCAGTTGCACTACAGCCTGCCAGCACAGGCAGTAGAAGCACCTTGCTGGTCAGTTCTCAAATTGCTTTATGAAATTTAGAGGACTAAAGCTTGTGCTGCTTTCTGTGCTGGCTTTTTTTGTGTGTGTTTTGTTTTTGTAAACCCTTCTTGCAGAAAGTTTAGCGTAAAGGTTTTTGGAGCTGGCTGGGAGCAGTGCTGTGGCAGAGAAGCAGCCAATACCACTGTGGTGCTGGTTCAGTTCCCTCAGCCCATGATGCAAATATGCCCATTTTGGTAATTTATATTTTCTGTTCTTGTTGGTGAAAAGAATGGAACTTCCATACACAGCCTGAACAGAGCAAAGAGTCAGCACCTGCTTGGGCAGCCAGGCTCCCGTTAAGCTGATAGGCAGAGAAAAACAAACTTTGTACTGAGAGTAGAGTTTGTCCTCAAAATCAGCTATTCTAGAGGGGGGGTTTTGGGGGGGTGGGCCAAGGCCCTTTCCCCCTCCCATTAAGTACATCTAATGGCCCTTGGTAGGACTAAGGACTGATGAGACTTGGCAAAAATAGAGAAATACTTTTAAAAAAACCCGCCTGCAGTTGGTATTGTGACAGGAGGTTACCTGCAGGGGTTCTAACTGCAAAAGCATGGAGTTGCCTGTGCTCAGAAGTTGGAAGTAAGCATCCCCAAGGCTTCCCCAACTGGCTGACACAAAATTCCAACTCAGGTCCAGTAAAAAATGAAGAAGTTCAAGTATCCTTTATTCAAGGTTGAAAAATGTACCACACCACATTATTGCAAAAGTTCATAGGTACAAAACACTTTGCAGCTGGTGAGAAGGCAATAAAAAGTTGGGTTTGTTTTTTAAAATTTGTTACTATAAATTACTGTTACAGTACTTTGCAAATACAGAATTTCAAATTGCATCGTTTTTATTTTTCTAAAATTGCCCACAGTACTAGAAATTCCTGAAGATAAGGCAGCTGTTTGTTTAAAAGAAGAGGTAGCTGGTGTCAAGGGATTTCCATTTCTCTTTCAATGCCCACATACTTAAGGGCATCAGCTTGGCTATATCTGAAATTAAAAAAAATAAAACCAAAAATAAAACCCAGCAACACTGAACAGTTCAGCTTCATTGTTCTGCCACAACAGCACAACACCACAGCCCCATACTTAGGGGTTGTCCTCACCAGCCGGGGCCCTTATTCCTTGTGTGACTCTGCAGCTGCAGAACAGTGCTGACTGCTCAAAAAACTGCTTTGAGAGGAGTTTGACCAAAAGGAAACAAAACACTAAAAAATTCCATAATTTTTCCACCTTGAACCTCACAAAGCTGAAGTTCATTTTAGCCATTGGAAAGCCACTGCATTTCTTGAAGTTGGCTTACAAACAGCATTGTCACTGGACACCTTCATTTTCTTCAAGTGAGATGATTTTAGAGGAAAGTATGAACACAGCCTTCGCAAGCACTTCTCTTCTAACACACCACTCCTCCTTGCCTCTGTCAGACTGACAGGAGAGACAAGCCTCTCCCAGGGATCCCTCCCAGGCAAAGCGCAGTCGCAGGTCTGCCTGGAAAAGCTCTGCAAGTCTGGCCCTGGCTGCCGCTAAGTGTTTCTCTAGACAAGCTGCTGTGCCGAGCTCGCGAGGCCCTTAAGCAGCTCCTTTGCTCAAGTCAGCCTTACTGTGGTATGTCGCTTTAAGAAAAAAATAGCAAGGGGCCTGCTGCTCACGGCCGTAAGGAGGCACAGCAACTGCTTAGGAGCTGGGCAGAAACAATGAAAGCTAATCCAGCCTGCAACAGGAAGAAATTACAAGATGCATCTACCAACCTGTAGTCAAAGAACAGTTCTTCACCAGTCTGAATGGCTCTTTTAGCAAATATTCCTATTCTGTGATCGCCATTAACCATCATAACTGTTTAAAAGAAATGTAAACTTACGTTACCACAAGTACTGATGCATCCACAATGTTTCATACACCGCTAACAGCAAGTCAATGTAAAACTCACCTTTTGCATAGCAGTTGGGATTTACTGAATGGTTTGCAAATCTGATTTTGTTGCCCTTGCGTGTTGCATCAACCACAAAATCTAGGGGGGGAAAAAACAACAACAAACCAAAACCCGCAAATGAGGCAGAGGTCACCTACAAACAAATTTTTGTGTTTAATACCTGGTGGAGTTGGGCTTTAGAGCTGAAGAGACAACTCCTCAGATTCCCACATGGAAAAGCTGGCACATCATCCTAGGATAGCTTTATTGTTCTGCAGGACTCAAAATATTCCTGCTCCCTGCACCATGCTTTCCATTTCTCTCCTGCCACAGTGGCACTACCTTAGTTTCTCATTTGAAGCTTCTTTACCTTTACTCCACAAGGACAAGCTCCATAAACATCCTAAGTCAACGTTGACATAGAGCAGCTTTTTTTCCTCCATTCAAATAGTTTCTAGGATTTCACGCCTGACACAGCACAGACTGTGCTTTTCAGGTGGCAGTAGCCACATGCCACATATCTGTGTGTGGCTCCCCCCCCCCCACCACCAACACAAAATTACCATCATAACTCACTGCTAATTTAAATCACAGTAAAATTACCTCAGACAATACTAGCAAGCCTTTTAGATTCTTTAGGCTACTTTACTTAATGCTTGCACGTAATTTTACTCCATGAAATTCTACTTCTACTCAAATCATCTTGTGTAATAGGCTCCATCACTACTATCTAGTTGATTAGCATTTGGGGGTGGGGGGGGAAGCACTAGCTATCAATACGGGAAATCCACACGTTGTTAGGAAACAGTGTGCAGAAGAAACTTTCTCAGTGTCACCTGCCTGCAAAAGAACAGGGCTGAACAACACTGTGAGCATTACATGTTTTATTTCTGCTGCAAGGATGGTGACTCGTCCGTACATACCGTTATTCAAGTTAAACAGAAAGCTGCACATGTATTTGTCGTATACTTTTCCTCTTCTGTCTGCCTCGTCCTGAGAAATAATCTGAAAGAAATAGTACTTGTAAAAGAGAGCACCTCTTCCCTTTTGTAAGCATAGCAGCTTCAGGTCAAAAACCCCAGGCATTCTGAAAGAAAGGTGGGGTTTGTATTCTCTGGAATCAAAAATATTCCCAAACATGAAGTACTGTTTTCAGCAAGCATTCTGCACTTATTGAACCACCGTGGCTTGCTCTTGGCCTAAATAAGTTCTTTCAGAGCAGAAAGAAAGCAAGAATTGCTTCTCATCTCAAAATCCAGACCGCATACCCCATATATTCAGGGGTTTATTACTACAGAATGTAATTGAGCGAAAGCAGCTACTGAATTTTCTTACTAGACTGAATGATTCTGCACAAAATTCCAGGCACGTCTGAAGGGAAATTGCATCCAAGATAAAAATAACATTTCAGCCTCTCGTTCTCACAAGAACCTGTGTCAAATTTTTTTGTGACATTCCAACTGTCTTGCTCCTGGGTTTGGAGCCCTGGCAGCACTAGCTGTGTGCTCGGTCACTCCTGCCCCTCCCTCTACACACGATACCAAGTTAGAGACGATCCCTTGGGCCCTGGCCACCTGCCACTGCACCGGGTTACGCTCCTACATGACCAGTGTTCCCCACCCTTACCTCACCACAGTATTCAGAGATGAATTCATTCTTCTGTACAGGATCCTTGATGAAAATCCCCCAGCCTGCCACATCTGAAGGTGCCAATAGCAAGTGCTGTAGGAGAGAAAAAAAAAAAGTTGAGACATGCCTGGCTTGGATTTGGTTTGGGGTTTTTCTTTTGTTTTTAATTGTATCACTTCATGCAATGTATGCTGGGACTCCAGAAGAGAAGACAAACACAGATTCTTCCGATTATCAAATGCTCACTAAAACTACAGCTTGTAGATCAGAAGTTGTATGTGAAAGAAAAAAACACTCGAAACACTTGAAAACTAATATAAATTTTAAGTTTAACCTTGAAGTAAGGGCATGTCATGGTTTAACCCCAGGCAGCAACTAAGCACCATGCAGCCACTTGCTCACTCCCAGTCCCAGTGGGATGGGGAGGAGAATTTTGGGGAAAAAAATAAATTAAAACTCAGGGGGTTTAGTAAGAGAAAAACAGTTATCTGTTTATCAGAACTGGTAAGAACAGTTTCATAACTAAAATGTCGTAAAATATAATAGTAGTAGTA